AAATAGTCACGTCTTACTATCCTGCCAACATACTAGTACAACATAAAAGCATTGACAAACTTACATATTCAAGGATTTTGATGGTGCTTCAAGTTCGCTACTACCTAATTTTTCAATTTTTTCTTCTCTAGATGCTTTCTTAGTCGAATTTCTCAATCTCCTTCATGTCATTTGCACCAGTTTTTGATAAACAATTACATTTAAATTACATAAGATTTTTTCCCAACATTCCTAAATCAAGATAAAGTAGTTCTAAGAATGATATAGCAAATTCAATTATGAATAAGACATTTTGAACAACAAGTACATTCAACCTAACATATAGACATTTTGAACAAGATATACATGATCTATGAGACATAATCAATGTGGTGTTAATTATTTGGCTGTGTATATCTGTAAAAGGTAGATTGAAAATAGCACAGTGAAAAGTAGCTATGTGAGCTGGCATGTATTCTAGAACTTTGGTATAGTTGATATTTGCACTTTTCTGTGGAGGTATAGCTATGTGGTTGTTTTGATGTTCATAAAGTTTTCTCCTGACATTCCTAATCAAGATAAAGTAATGATATAATAGATTCAATTATGCGCAAGACATTTTGAACAACAAGTGCATTCAGCCCAACATATAGGCATTAGAATCAAGATTCATGCCAATCAACTTTCATACTGTGGGCTAGGGATGTCCTCGAGCCAAGTCGAGCTCGAGTATTGCTATATTCGAGCTCGACTCGACCTATATGTAACTAGACTCGAGCTCAGCTTGAACTCGATCGAGCCTAAAAATCGCAACTCGAGACTTGACTCGAGAAAATTCTTTTAAGCTCGAGACTCGACTCGATAAGGCTCGACCAAAAGCCTTATCGAGTCGAGTCTAATCAAGTTTTTTGACTCGACTCGAAAAATGTGCACTTGTAAATTCAGTATAAATTATACCTATAACGGTCATTTTATAATTATAATACATATATTATTTAAATTATATATATATTAATTAAATATATCCAGCTCGACGAGCTAGTCGCAAATTCCTGACTCGAACTCGACTCGAAAGTATATTCGAGTAGCTTGAGACTCGGCTCAAACTCGATTTGATCGAGCTCAAGCCAAGTCGTTGACTGAGCTACTCGCGAGCTACTCGATAGTGGTTTGGCTCGCTTACATCCCTACTGTGGGCTTCAATTACTGGTCTGCTACAGTTAATTGGGTTTCAACTTATAAACAAGAGTAAACTTATGTCTGCATTTCTTTCCTCACAAGGGTTTCATTATCAATTTCTAGGACTTGATTTAATATCATTATGCTAGTTGATTGTGCATTTACAGTCGTGACAAAGCATTTCTCCACCATCACTGTTCTATCACAGAATGTAATAGTTATCTAACAAGATGTACATGCACACTATTAAAATAATTGAATCATTTTTCCACACTAAGAAAGGCAATTTGAACAAGATGTCTTACCTTCTTTTTTTTCCTTCTTTTCCCTAATTTCTTTCCACTACATGTTATGCGTAATTATCACCAAGCTCATGTATTGAGTTTTATAGATGTTGCGAGAGACAAACACCAGCGCCACTTACATATTAAGTGATTTAGATGGAGCCTTAGGTTGTCTGCCATCAAACTTTCTTGTTGCTTCATCTCTACCACCTTTCTTACTAGAGTTCTCGATTTTTTCTTGCCATTTAAACTGGAGTTTTACACAGACAATTGCACTTCAGTTCCATTATGCTTTCCCCACTTATTCTTAATGCATTACAAAGTACTAACATAAATAATATATCACTTTCAAATCTTAGTGACAATAGTTATGAAAACTTGTAACTTATTTTCCACACTCTGTTTGCCAAAATTAACAATAAGTTAATTATTCTGTCTCGCCAATTTCACTTACAATCTACTCTCACTCATTTATCAAGTTTGATGGGATTGACTTCTTCTTCTATTTCTTGTCCTACTCTACAAATATGAGTTAATGTAACAACCAGGAGGTACCAATTTCACAGTTATGTTGACGAAATTTTACAAAACAGTTCTTATACTGTAATTGCTAACTCACTGCATGTTACAGTTATCCAACTTCATTCTTAACAAGCACACTAGCAACGTATAACTTGTAACCTTTTTCCACATTGAGTATGCCAAACTAAAAACTATGTTATTCATTCTGCCCACCCTGTTCAGATTGTCGTCTGGTGCCCTAGCTATCAAGTTTCAAACAATCAACCTCTTCTTCTATTTATCCTGTGATTATGCAAATACGAGTTAACTAACAAACAATAGGTAGCAATTTCACAGTTTGTTCACGCAATATTACATATCAGTTCTGCTACTGTAACTGTTGACTAACTGCACGTAACAGTTATTCAACATGGTGTCCAGCCCCGCTAGCTAAAAAAACTTGCAACTTTTTTCTCTGCAATGCGTCTACCAATCTGAGTGTTTTACTTCGCATAATAATTTTATTCCTCGTCATTATTTATTCATGTGAAATGTCTCTTATACAATATGCTGTAAGAGGCATTTTTAAGGGAATTATCTTTGTAATACTTTTTTTTCGCTTTGTATGTTGCCGTGAATAGTATGTACAAACCACACATAAAGTATAATCTGCACACAAGCACTGCTAATCAATAAAATCTATAAGAAATTCATAGAAACAACCAGTACCCTTGTTACATTATTACCCAGGCAATTTCTCATCCCATTCACATGATTTTACAAACACTTGGCACACTAAGTTTTCCTTACCTATCCTCTCCTATGTTGGCCACCAAAATACTTACCTTCTTCTACTCGAGACTAGTGAACAATCTATTCCACCAAAACCATTAAAGATCAATTAACCTATTCATTCACAACATTGTCCAACAATGACAAGTACTCACATCGCTCTACGACCTTGTCAAATTTCGAAAGTTATGTGATACCATTGCTGTTTTGTTACCTAGGTATTTCTTGCTTTATCTCTTCTCCGGATGCGAAACTCTGCTCTTCTGTCGCTACTTCTCCTTTTTCTTGCTGTAATATACCTCAGCACAATTGTATTTCCCTTGCCTTCCCCGATCCCTAGTCTGCCTCCAACCACTTTCTTGTTCTGCCTCCAACCATTTTCTTGTATTCTCTATTTGCTTTTGTTTTTTGACGTTATGGACGAGTGAAAATTAGCAATTATTGTGGAGGGAAAGCAAATGACCTTTTTGTTTGACCATTCATTTGCACGGGATTTTGTGGAACGGAGCTAATGCTTCATGATGAAGTCCGTTAGAAGCGTCAATTTCTTTTTTCCATTACTAATTTATGTGATGTCGTTTTTCCATCTTCCCAAAACTGGTCGACATGGTTATTTCCTGGGATTGTGAGGGGACCGTTCAGGAACGGTCATCAGTCATTCTGATGACCGTTCCTGCCCCGTATCCGATAGAATGACCGTTCCTGCCCCATATCCGATACAAAGAGTACATAACTTAGACCATGTTTGATAATTCAGTTTAACACTTAAATTTAATGAATTCAGATCATAACATATTCAAACTGTTTGATAACTAAAAATTGAATGTCTGAATTAATCAAGTGGCACTAATTTTTTTAGACAAAACTTGCCCCAAAATTAAATGATAAGTTATTCACTTATCACTGAATGTGATATGCATTCAAATGTATTAGATTTAATACTTAACAATTCAATAATTTAATGAATTTAGACTCGAAATTTCATATTTCAGACTTCAGTTTTATCAAACTCAACCTTAGTGTGATTCATTGCTATTAAGAATATTTAGTTGACTTATTATTTATGTATGAATTGAGTTGAACTGCTTAAGCTATGTTGTTTTCTAGCATGGAGTTACTTCATGTCTGTAACGGTTGGAACCCAAAATTGCCGTGTTTTTAGATTAGTTTGGCATTGTTTTCTTTAATGGGAAGTTATGCATATAAAAATTGCTGTGCTTTCAGATTGATTTGGCATTGTTTTTTTTTTTTTTTTTTGAATGGCAAGTTATGGATATCATAAGTCGTTACTACAAGTCTACATGTCTATAACTATTGTGAACCTAAAATTGCAGTGTTTTTAGATTGATTTAGCATTGTATTTTTGAATGGGAAGTTATCAATATAAAAATTGCAGTGTTTTTAGATTGATTTGGCATTGATTTTTTGAATGGCAAGCTATGGATATGTGACAAAGTAGGTGCATACTTTATTAGAGTGCAAATTGAAGCCATTGAATTTCAATCTGAAAAGGAAAGGGTATTATGCTTGGTATGATAGAGAAATCTTACCTCATTGCATCTACTTGATGCTTTTGCCAATTCTGGGATTGAGCATGTATGTTTGTTGGATTACCGATAATTATTTTGAACATGTAAATCTTAAAAGTGAGCAAAAAAATTTTGAATTTCCTCTCATAATTACACTAGAAAAACCAAGCAAGACAAAAAAAAAAAAAAAAAAAGCCAAGTCAAGACTCAAAAAATAAGTTTACATTAAGGTAAGCTGAAAGTTATGACTTATATATAACATTGTTTAATGGTGAGTTATTATATAATATGATACATTGGTAGATATATAATGCATATAATACACAATTTATAAATAAATGGACAATCAAATTTCAATATTCATTTCCAAACTATTTTACCAAACTTCCAGCATTGAATATTATCCGTTCTACCGATGTCTAACATTCGATCGAGTTTGGATCAATCAGTTTTTTGACTTTTTTTGAACTAAGAACATCTTTGATGGAAAGGGCCTAAGAGGTGAATTACGAACCTCGCTCTAGGATCTTAGAATTAACTCTTGTTTTCTTTTAAGCATGCCTTGTAGTTTGGATAGGAGTTTATTTGAGATAATTATTATAGTATTTTTTGTGATATAATGTATGTAAAATAAAAAAATAATTTAAAAAAAAATTAAAATTTGTGAAACAATTTTTTTTATTTTAAATTATCTCAATCCAAATACACTTGTGATTTGCAAGAACTGCCTGGTGTAGGTGACCTGAGATTTCGACGGGTACCCTATTCAATGGAGGGCGACCAAAGTGGAACTCGCCCAAGATTTTCTAACTGACCGAAAAAAAAAAAAACTTTGTCACGCGTTATAGTACTAGAGGCCTAACGCGAAGAGTTAGTTATATCATGGTTCAAAATCTCCGATTATGTTTCCCTCCCGTTATCTCCGGAAAAAAGTCAAAAAAAGTCTGCTCACGAAAACGATGGTGATGACAAGTTCCGGCCTTCTAGGCATCTTCCTTCCTATTGCACGCGTAGGCGAAAACCAAAATGGTGTTTCTGTGCAAGATGAGGAGGAGTAGAGGAGAGGGCCAGGGATTCTTCCTTCTTTGGTTTATCCCCATTTTGTACGACCAATTAAGTTGGGGCTCCGATAAGGAGGGCAACGGAAGGGATACTGGTGGCTGGTTCTTGGTCAGTAATGGAGGAAATAGCTGAAAATTCTATTGGTGATGGAAATGCTGCTGCTCTGTCGTCTACGGAGATGTCAGGTTCAAGAAGCTTTGCATTTTCAATTGTGGCTCCTAGGAAAGAGGGAAAGCAGACACAGAATTTGACTGAAATGAAGCCTAGTAAGGACGACAAGATGGGTCTTGAGCTCTCTCTCAGCTTACCAAACGTTTCATGGCTGCCTATTGGGAGCACCCCAGATGGCGAAAAAGAGCAGCAGCCATCGAGGGTTGACTTTGACTTTCTTGAATCAGTCATAGCAAAGCCAGTAGTAGTAGCAGCTAACATGTTTGAGGAAATGTCCGAAAGAGAAATTGCTTGTTTGAAGGAGTCAGCCAGGGAATTGATCTGCGATCCGGGTCAGATCTATATGCTAAGCGTAATTCGCCAATTACTCCCAAAAAGGTCTGTTATCAATCTGGAGTTGCTGCTACATAAGTGCCATCGAACTCAGTTGCGGATCTTGGTGGCCATCAAGACTGGTCAAGCTGAATTACTTGAGTTTGATTTTCCTGTGTTTTTCTCTGACTTGGCAGAAATATATGTGGAGTTAAGGTGTAGAAATCTGAAATGCCAGATACACTTAGGAGAGAATATATGTAATTGCAAGTTCTGTGCGGAAAAGAATGGTTTTTGTAAAGATTGCATGTGTATGCTGTGTTCAAAGTTTGACATGGAATCTACTACCTGTAGTTGGGTGGGGTGCGATAAATGTCTGCACTGGTATCATGTAGATTGTGGGATGCAAGAATCTTGTTTTAGAAATGTGCTTAGTGCCTCTGGAAATGGAGCAGAGATGAACTTGTTCTGCATTGCTTGTGGTCATACTTCTGAAATGTTTGGCTTTGCTTTTAAAAAGTGTGGAAAGGAGTTCACATCAGAAGCTCTTTCCAGGGAACTAAATTACTTTCGGAGGATCTTTTCTACAAGCAATAATTTTAGAGGGAAAAGATTGCATGAGATAGCAACTCTGATGCTATCATTTTTGGAAGATAGAGCTAATGTTCAAGAAGTTGAACATCAAACTGCAGGTTCCTTTAATGGTATGAGCTCATTTTGGATTATGCATCTACACCTTATTCTTGTGTGTAACATTCTAGTACCTATGAGTTGCTTTCTGTTTGGCCCCTTTCAAATCATTGCGGAGCTGAAATAACTTTATCTTTTTCCATGGTGTACCACCTGATTTTGCAAACAAAAGAAATTGAAACTATCTGTGGTTGAAGCACTGGTACTTCAGCAGCTGAGTCTTGGGAAATTTTGAATCCAAAGCATTATGATAACCATTGCTTTCGGAAATGCACAGAATGAACTATCCAAAAATCTACTTGCACATCCAATGTTATGTAACTTATGATCATTTTCTTGCGGAATAAGTTTTGATCATAAGCCGTTCTCAACCAATTGTGTGACACTTGTGCAAATATTTGTTATGGAAATTAGTCATTGTTTTACAGTTCTAAATTCTTTCCCTTCTATTTTCAAGTTAACTGCCCTAGATGAAGTACCTTGGCAGATTTATATGCATTTACCATCAAGTCGATTGACAGTCTTTAAAGTCCATAGTCATGGGCTTTAGAATCTTGCAAGTTATAACTGAAATTTTTGACAGCTGTCGGAGAACAGGATAGAAAATACACTCTCTCCAAGGATATGCCGTAGTTTCTAGGAGTATCCTGCTAGCTTCATGAGTTGGTAATACCCCATTTGTCATTGGTGGAAGCTAGATGGAACTAAAGACCATGGAAAACTGAGTGATTTTATCAGGTTTTTTCAAAGTAAGAACTTGGTGATACAATTGAAACTTTGATGACATCATCAAAAAGTTGAACTCAAGTAGATTATCAGGGAGATGATACTGGCACTCCACAAAAAACCTCCAATGCTCTATTCTTTGTCATTTTCAATCAGAAAGACTAAACCATCCTCAGATAAAAATTGGTTTCCAAGGCTATCCTTCTCATCTTGTTATCCCTGCCAAACAGTTGTGTTCATCAACACACCCACCGACCCACTGCTCTGTAGTAGTATCTATCCTAGTCCCATGACCCATTCCCCATTGTGCAACTGCTGCTGCTACAAAACTCAATTGCAGACTACTTATTCCAGCTTCTATCCTATTGGTCCATGACCTCAGCATGCTTTCAAGAGTGCAACCAGCAGCCTCCAACTTTCTGCCAGCCGATCCAGACGAAAACAAGACATTATTTTTCTCAATTGCACCATCCCTATATAATCTGTATATGCTGCAATCTTTCTTGTTGAGTGATTGAATAAAATGAAAAATGAAATTGATTTGTGTCTGATTATGACAATAGGCTATTCCATGACAAACCTTTGAAAATTTCTGATCCTAAACTGCTCTCTACAATGGGTTCTAATTGATTTCTTGTATCAATTGCATTAAAATGTAAAACTTTTTTGGAGAAGTTGGTTTCTTGATGATATTTTCTTTGATTGTCTTTGTTCTTTTGCGGGTGGTTCACATAAAAAATGATGGAACCTTAGTTCACTGGCCTTAGGAAGAAAGAAATAGAGTGGTCAGTGGAGTTGATTTAGCCACTTAGTGTCGGGTAGCAGAGATTGGTGGCCTTCTTCTTCTAACAGTGGTCAAGAGTTGTTGGCTTGGGAACCTTAAAGCAGATAAGAGAAAGGGCACCTTAGTCATAAAGAAGACAAAAAACAGGGGATGGAGTGCGAGAGGATATATGTGGAGCACGAATAATCATTCGCCGATTATCATTGCAACGTGCTGATGCAAAAGGAAAGCCAATTGAATTTCCAAAATAGAAATGGTGGTTGGGGCAATAATGACAAACCTTAACAAAAAACTATAATGACCCTCAGAACATGGTGCTGTGGATTACCCTTTATTGAATGAGGTGGTCTATTATACTAATACCAACTGGTTTCAGGCTGTATAAAGACAAAACTTTGGAAGGAATTAATGGATTTCACATGGTACAGAAGGTGGAAGGCTACACTTTTGAATACTGGCTCGTGAACTTCTTTTCAAGTGCAGTCCTTTAAGCAATCAGGAGTCTTGAATATTCTCTCTCTCTCTCTCTCTCTCTCTCTCTCTCTCACTTCCCTGCTGCAGTGACGTCCCTTGGTTTGGTTTTATATCTCTTTTTCAATGGTAACATGCTATTTCCTCATTTTGGGAATTAGCAAGATATATTCTCTTATAAAGGACTGAGTAAAATATTCTGTTATTGTTTGAGTTTTGAGACTCAATTTTGCATAAAAATTATAAAGGTGCCAAAGTGAACCTAAAGCTGAGAAGAGGCATTTTCTCTTGATTGGGATATCACAATACATAAAAACAATTAAAATCTTTATGGTTTTGGTATTAATACCTCATCAAAAGCCTATAGTTATGAGGTCTTACTTATAAAAAAGGAGATTCCAGAATGAAGTGGCTTTAGAAGTGTCACTAAGATTTAAAACCACGGCAGTTGCAACTTGCCTGGCTTCTTTTTTCTTGATTATCTGTCTCCATCATTTCTTCGTTGTTGGCAGTGGAGAAGATTTGGAACCTTTTTGAGTACTGTTGTGAAGTTCTGGGCAGGACTCTGACCATTGACAAGCTATTAGATATCTTCAAGAACCATGGTCCAGAGTGGCAGCAATTGCAAAAGACTCAACTTAAGGAACCTGAGGAGCTGGTTCTGAAGACATCTGGCAAGGAGAAAGATGACTTCAACTGGACAGGCTTATTGTCTACACCAAGTGACCCAGGTCAGTTCTTTATAATTCAGAAGCTTTGCTTTCATTTCTTTTCTCTACATCCTTTGTTTTTCTTTTATTTGTTCTCTTCTGGCAAAACTTAAGCTCAAATTCAAGCAACAACATGTCAGATAGTGTGCTCTTGGAGAGGGCCAGAAAGCTGCTCCGGGGCAACAATGGATCATCTAGAGTTCAGTGTGATGGGCTTGCGGGCATGATGCAGATATTTGACAATGACAAACATGGAAATAACTGGATAAGCTTGTCATCATCCTCTTCTTCCCCAATTTACCCACCTTGGGGAGCATATACAAAGTCCAAGAAAAGGCATTTACTTTAGTTGCACTTAGTTGGAACTGTCTTTTACCTGATTGTTGGGAAATAGCATATGAATGACTTAATAGTTCAGGGGTTTAGCAATATTTGACATCCTTTGCGAATTGTATGATATATCGTGGGTAAAAAGTGGAAAAGGAAACAAAAGGGAGCATAAATCTTAAAAGACAGTTTTGTTCTAATTCACATACCAGCATTCATGGCAACCATGGGTAAAACAAACTGCTATGTTGTTTTGCTTCTTGCGCCTTTAAATTTGAACGATTTAGAACAGTTGAAAAGTTTGGGGAAGCGTAAGGAGCAGTGATATGGAGCTGAAATTGACACTACTCTTCCCCTGAGTGAGCGTTGGACCAACGTGGTATTAAACCTGGAAGATTGAAGGATAATATTTGCATCATCCTGGATATTGGGGACTGAATTGAGATTATCTCACATACTTAGGGAACTATTGCTAAACTTTTCCCAAATACAATAATGGAGTTCATGTATCATTCTGAGGAAAAGAAGAATCTCACAGCATCAACACTTATTTAATGGGGCTGAGAAGCTGCTTTTGGTGTTCAGCCAGCGAGACTGGCAAATTCTCTTTCCACGAATAAGAACTCTTTTCTTATCTTCTTAATGTGTTTAATTTACTTTGTGCCTAAGTTAAACTCAAGATGAAGGGAAATTTGGCGAAGTACTATGCTCTTGGAGAAGGCCACAGAGCTGCTCCAGGAAACAGATAAAGTAAGAGGTGCAAAGAATGGTACTTGAGAAGGCGGTCAAGGCATTTTCAGCAACAAAGCTGGAAATAACCACGTCATCTTATCATCATCTGCGTCTTTCTTGCAATTCTCCTGCAGGAAAAACAATGCCAGGAAAAGGTAGTTTCCCAAAATTGCTAGTTAGCTAGCCTCATGATTTTGTCTGCTGGAGAAGATCAACTTCCTGGTACAGAGATTTGCATCAAAATTAGAACGAAGCACAATAAAGTGACTATTGGATAATAGTGCATGCGTTTAGCTGTTTCCTATATGGTGCCAATTGTCTTGTTTCGGTGGAAAACGAGTTTGTATGGAAATGATTGCTTTAATATTCTATCGTCAAGCCTGTTTATCAGTAGAATCTTGAGGTGCTCTTTCATGCACGTTAGGAGAATGGCCCATATAAGAACTTAGCTTGAGCGCCGCTCCCGGTGATCTTCTCTCACCTCCACCCCCCCCTCCCCACCACAAAAAAAAAACAAAAAACCCAAAAAGCCAAGAAAGAATGCTGGAAAGAATATAATTCATGGATAGGATTCTTAGTGGGAGTTCTACTTTTGTAAGGCGACAGCTTGCAGTTTTACCTAAGTGAATGTCTTTAACCGATTACAGAAACCTGATCAAAGAAAAGCAGACATAGGAATCTAAGCTCTACCTTACATGTTCTTTCTCTTTATTGTTGTTAACTTTTCATTATTCTCAGCTCTTATTGTTGAAACCTCATCTGATCACAGAATTCACTGATAGAGAAAAAGTAATAGGAAGGGATAAAATCTTGAGTTGGATATCATTCTTTGCAAGTCTGGAAGCCTGTCAGAGCTGCAAGTACCGAAAATAGTTACAATATAAGCAAAACAGAATTTGTTGTTCCCACTATTAGTACAAGTTTAACTCGAATGCTGGTTTTAAGACAGTAGTATTTGGGAACCAGAACCAGGAAGATGACAATTCTTGAATGATTTTTCTAACAGCTTACTACAGTTCCCGATGATATATGTGTCTTCTACTTAGCATGAGAATTACATTTAGACAACTTTTTTCATTCTCTTTAGAATAACTCTAGTCCTCAAGGGTGTAAATGAAGATATTTATGTTTTTATTTGCAAGTCCTGTAGCATAGTCGGTGACAAAAGGAATCTTTAGTTATAAAACCATGACTGAACGTCTATACTTCATTACTTTCTGCTTATGTTTGATCACGATCGAACTTGGCAATTATGTTGTATGCAGTCATTTTCAGTTGAAACAAACGTTTCCCTTTAATATGGTCTGTAATAAATTGATTAAACTTCGTAGGCCTATGCAGTCATTTTCAGTTGAAACAAACGTTTCCCTTTAATATGGTCTGTAATAAATTGATTAAACTTCGTAGGCCTCCTGAACCCTTATCGCAAATAAGGCCATAACGAAAAGCCTCAGGTTTTAATTTTGTTTCTTAAGCTTTGTTTCTTCCTTCTAGTTGTTCTTCTTGGATTTCACTCAATCTGCCCATGGTGCCAAATTACAATAGCTGAAATTACTCATTGCATTCTTATTGGTTGACTCAAGTGGTTGTAAAGACTCAGCACTTCAAGCAGAAAAGGACTGGAAAAAAAGAACAAAGGCTCAACGCTTCAAAAGAAGAAAGTTAATGGAAAAAGGAAAAAAGAAAGAGAGATGGTGTTATTTTAGCTATAATTGGCATTTCTTCTGCCCTACTCAAGGTGCATTACAAAGCAGATTACACGCAGACCTCCGTAGATCTGCTACCATATGTAGAAGTTCCATGTGATTCAGTCGGACGTCTTGGTCTTTTGTATATGCGAAGCAGGTACTTAAGATTTCAATGAGGTTGAATTCCAATGCATGAGCGTCATAATTGTCGCACTTGCATTAGGCAGTTCAGAGATGCAGTTTAATATCTTTGTGATCAAACTTATGTTATTTATCACGTTGCTTGCAAGAGTTTAACACTTGTTGAAAGGAATTGACGCCGCAAGTGTTCTAACAGGATTTTTGGTGCCAGCAATTACTTTAGAGGGATAAGACTGCATGAGGTGGTCCTCCAGATGCTGTCAATATTGGAAGTAGAGCTGATGTTCAGGAAGTTGTAAGTTCATATATCGTAGGGCCTAAGAATCTATTTTTGACGAATGACTTGGCCTTACTCTTGTGCCTAAGAAATTTCAGATTGACATGTGCCGAGCCTGTGCAATAATAATTACTAAAAAGTCCTAATTACCACCACAATTAATTATAGAACAAATCCAAGTACTGGAGTAGGGACCCTAGGTGTGCAATGAGTTACTTGATTCATCCTGTTCCGGAAGAGTTTGCTTGATCCAATATACCAAAATTGTCTATAAAAGTATTAAATTTGCATACAATAGCAAGTAGGGTCGATTTCACAGGGAACGGATAGGAAGTTGTTTCTTTCCAAGTCAATAGAACAAAATTGGGAGATATTTAAGGGAATGAAGATGAAAATAAAATAAACAAAATTCAAAAGCTAACTCAACAAGTACAATTTACTAAAAATAGCAATTAATAAAATTTTACCCGAATGATCAACTTTCAAGTACGGTCCAATTAAATGATCATCGATGCAAAAATATTTCATTCATTCATCACTAGGTTGGTTATAGCCATCAACAAGCTCTGACAGCCAATTCTTCCTTGCTTTTTCGATAGCCAAGGTACGACTATTGACTGTTTCTCTAACCAGAAAATAATCCTATGTACGACCGTAGGAATTTAATTATTCAGTTGCATTAAAGTTAGAAAAATTCAACCCTAATCAATAAACATGCTACGATGGTTTATTTAAAATAGATCTTACGTTTCCCCAACACAAAGCCAATTATGGTGGTTGTCACTAGTTGTCAATTAAACAAATAATTACGGATTCAATTTAATTAACGTGACAGTAGGCTATTAAATTAAATTAAATATCCGGCCATTGATACTCAATTAATAAAATGAACAATTAATCCAAGAAACGCACGAATAGTAACAAATTGAAAGAAATAATGAAAATTCGATTAGATCTCACAGATGTTATGGACCGCGCCTTCGCGACGACCTTTGAGTAGAGGAGAAATCTAGCCGCTCCTCATCATATCAATCTTGCGTGGTTTAATTAATTCCATCCACACAATTGCCAAAGAATTGGGAAAGATGAAACAACGAAGGAACGAAAGAGAAAGTCTCCTACTTTCTTTTCTTGTTTTGAGTTCGTATAGGAGAAAAGTAAAGAAAAAATCTACCGAAAATTGTCGAAAGCAACAGCAGAGAGTAAATCGTCTAACTTGGAAGACTTAAAAGCTAATCTCCTAAGCCCACGTGATTCTGACTTTTCTTCTACTCGCCGCCGCAAAAGAAAGGAAAGAACGTCTGACAGAACAAAGCAAAAGCTAATCTATATTGATATCACATGAATATGGCTTTTTTCCTTTTGTAGCCGCCGCCAACAGAATATGGTGCGGGCTGGAGAGCGGCGGCAGATGAGTAGGAAAAACTGAAAAAGTAGAAATTGAAACTAAGACAAAACAATGGAAAATGAAAAGCAGAAACTAAGACAAAGGAAATTGAAAAGACCAGATAAAACAAGAAGAGAGGAAAGTAGAAAAGTGGGGTTAGAGATGGTCATGGTTACATTTGACTTTCGTTGTCGCAAAGGTTGGAAGACATGGGCTCGCCTTGAAAGGTGAGGTCGTCTGCCTATAATATGCCTAACACGATCTGCTATGTGGCATTGGCATGCCTTGGAGGGCGAGGGCTTCTGATCACCAAGTTTTACAAATGTCCATGCGCTGTGAATACAAGGCGCGGGCACGCCTTGTAACATGAAGTCTTCTGCCTACGAATTTGTACCCCCAACCCAAAATAAAACTGAACATAAACACCCATCACCTACAATAAAGATTGTTTGTCAATAGGAACCTAAACCCACTGATCTTGAACACACAAATATGAAATAAAACACAATTGAAATCCTTGGATTGCCTTCCAAGTAGCGCCTTTCTTTAATGTTTTGGCTAGACACTATACACCGCTCTTCAGTCTAAATGTAATTCAATTTTCCTTGTAATCGGTGGCCCTCCTTCGGGATCCAAATAGCCATTGAGTGTAACATTTTTCCTTAATTTTTTACCTATTTTCACCTCATGAATTGCTTTCATTCCATGATACTTGTTCGCAGTAACTTTGAATTTACCCCTATAAGCAAATTCAGAAAATTCTTGTACAGAGGGATTAGTAGTATGAATAACAAATACAGAATAAGAGTTAACAAGATATTTCATTGTATCAAAAATATTAAAGTGGACTGTTTCTCCATCAAATTCCATCGTAAGAGTACCCTAACTAACATCAATCTTAGTCTGGGCAGTACTCAAAAATGGCCTTCCTAATATAATGGGTGATGAATTTGAGGCACTTCTATCATCCATGTAAAGCACATAAAAATCAACAGGAAAAATTAATCCATCTACTTGCACTAAAACATTCTCAACTATCCCATCCGGATAAGCAAATGTAGGATCAGCCAATTGAATTATTATCCCTGTTTCTTTTAAAGGTCCTAAATTTAGGGAATCATAGATTGATTTAGGCATCGGATTAATAGAAACTCCTAAATCTAGCATGGCATTTTCGATATTAGAATGGCCAATCTTACAGGGAATAGTAAACATACCTGAATCCCCGCATTTGGGTGGGAGTTTTCTTTGGAATATAGCAGACACATTTTCTCCTACCGTCACTCTCTCGTCACCCCTTAGCTTCCTTTTGTTAATGCACAAGTCCTTCAAGAACTTTGCGTACTTGGGCACCTGCTTGATCGCGTCCAATAGGGGGATGTTTACTTGCACTTTACGAAACACGTCCAGGATTTCTTTTTCCTTCTCCACCTTCTTTGTTTTTTCCAACCTGCAAGGAAAAGACGATAAGTTAGATTTAATAGGAATTAAAGGAGTGAACGTTACCTTAGGGTCCTCGCGAATGCGCTCTTCTTCTTCAATCTCTTTTTCGATCACTTCTTCACTTTTACTCTTTAGGTTCGTGGCCTTAGGTCCCTCCACTTCCTTGCCATTTCTCAGTATCATGGCACTTATATTCTTAGGGTTTGCCTCGGGTTGCGATGGCAATTTCCCAAAAACTTCGAATTCTAAACGATTAATTGCAGTTGCCATGTGACTTATTTGAGTCTCCGGATTTTTCATGCCCGATCTAGTTTTCTGCTGGAACTAAGGAGTACTCGTGACCAGGTTCTTGACAATATCCTCCAAAGATCTTCCTGAATTAGAGAACGAAGGTTGAGGTTTTGATTACCATGGTTGCTGAAATCCTGGTGGACGATTTAAGAATGAACTCTGTGGCCTGTTCCCATAGCTGAAATTGGGGTAGTCTCTCCAACCCAGATTATACGTGTTCGAGTATGGATCGTACTGCCTACGAGGCGTGGGCACGCCTCTAGCCATGTTTACTTGTTCAGCCCCATTCTCTTGCAAAATAAGGCATGAATCAGTGGGATGGCCCATGTTTGTGCAAATTCCACAGACCTTTGCTTGATGCACGTTCCCCACAGCTAATTGTCGAACAAAAGATGTTAACTCTGATAGCTGCTGTTGAATGAACAACTTCTCTACCTCGTTAACCCTACGGGTAGGGTTACTGTCGCGGAAGCCAAACTGTTGAGAAATTTCTGCCATAGCTTCGATAAGTAGCCATGCTTCTCTCAGTGTCTTTATTTGCCAGTGCTCCCCCACTCGCAGCATCAATGATACTCCTATCAGACGACTGGAGTCCCTCATAGAAATATTGGATCAATAGTTGTTCACTAATTTGATGCTGTGGGCATCTAGTGCACAACTTATTAAACCTCTCCCAATAGTCATATAGGGATTCTCCAGGATACTACTTAATACTGCATATCTCCTTTCCCAAACTTGCAACCCGAGATGCAAGAAAGAATTTTTTTCAAAAATTTCTTTTTCAGTTGGGCCTATGTTGTGATACTACCTGCAGGTAGGTAATACAACCAATACTTTGCTGCATCCTTGAGGGAGAAAGGGAAGGCTCTTAGTTTGATCTGCTCCTCAATAATTCTTGGAGGATTCATACTGGAGCATACCACATCGAACTCCTAGATGTGTTTATAGGGTTTCTCACCCGAGAGACCATGGAATGTGGGTAAGAGGTGAATTAATTCCGACTTTAATTCGAAGGAGGTATTCTCAGCTAGAGTTAGAAATGTGATGTACAACGGCTATTGGGGCAATTCCGGAGTAGCCAACTCCCTTAGTGTTCTTGCATTCATCATAGGAATATCCTCTTGACGTAGGTCACTTGAATTATCACTACTTGAATCTGTTGATTCAATCTCTGAATCCAATCTCTGAGATGCAGTGCTAGATTGCTCCTCTCTGAGCTGTCTAGTCTCTTTCCTAGTTCGACGCGCAGTCTTCTCTACTTTCGAGTTGAAAATTAATTTGCAAAAAAAATGCCAGACACATCCAAAGAAAATAACTTAGAAAGAAATAAAATTAATCAAAATATCGTTCCCCGGCAACGGCGCTAAAAATTGACAGGTGTCGAGCTTGTGCAATAATAATTACTAAAAAGTCCTAATTACCACCACAATTAATTATAAAACAAATTCAAGTGCTAGAGCAGAGACTCTAGGTGTGCAATGAGTTACTTGATTCACCCTGTTCTCGAAGAGTTTGCTTGATCCGATATACCAGAATTGTCTATAAAAGTATTAAATTTACATACAATGGCAAGTAGGGTTGATTCCACAGGGAACTGATAGGAAGTTGTTTCTTTTCAAGTCAATTGAACAAAATTGGGTGATATTTAAGGGAATGAAGATGAAAATAAAATAAACAAAATTCAAAAGCTAACTGAACAAGTACAATTTACTAAAAATAGCAATTAATAAAATATTATCCAAAGGATCAACTTTTCAGGTACGGTCCAATTAAATGATCATCGATGTAAAGATATTTCATTCATTCATCACTAGATTGGTCATAGCCATGAACAAGCTCTGACAGCCAATTCTTCCTTGCTTTTTCGACAGCTAAGGTACGACCATTGACTGCTTATCTAACCAGAAAATAACTCTATGTACGATCGTAGGAATTTAATTATTCAGTTGCATTAAAGTTAGAAAAACCCAACTCTAATCATTAAACACGATACGAGAGTAAATTTAAAATAGATCTTACGTTTCCCCAACACAAAACCAATTATGGTGGTTGTCACTAGTTGTCAACTAAATGAACAATTACGGATTCAATTTAATTAACGTGACAGTAGGCTATTAAATTAAATATTCGGCCGTTGATACTCAATTAATAAAATACCCATGAACAATTAATTTAGAAAACGCACGAATAGTAACAAATTGAAAGAAATAATGAAAATTCGATTAAATCTCATAAATGTTATGGACCGCGCCTTTGCGTCGACCTTTGGGTAGAGGAGAAATCTAGCCGCTCCTCAGTATATCAATCTCGCATGGTTTTATTAACTCCATCCACATAATTGCCAAAGAATTGGGAACGATGAAACAACGAAGGAATGAAAGAGAAAGTCTCCTACTTTTTTTTCTTGTTTTGAGTTCGTACAGGAGAAAAGTAAAGAAAAAGTCTACCGAAAATTGTCAAAAGCAACAGCAGAGAGTAAATCGTCTAACAGGGAAGACTTAAAAGCTAATCTCCTAAGCCTACGTGATTCTGGCTTTTCTTCTATTCGCCGCCACAAAAGAAAGGAAAGAACGTCTGACAGACAAAAGGAAAAGCTAATTTATATTGATATCACGTGAATCTGGCTTTTTCCTTTTATAGCCACCGCCAGCAAAAGGAAAAAACATCAAAGGGCAAAACTTTCTCTAAGAGTTTAATCCCCTGCAACTCCGCGGTACACGTGAACCTGACTTCCTATTTGCCCTCCTGCTGCTACCAATCCCGCAGGTCCGGCTTTTATGTGTATCTCCTCAGTTCCTGGCGTGGGCAAGCCATGAAATAAAGAGTCTTTTAGAAATTTGCCTCGCAAGAGCACTTTTTACACCAACCATCTACACTCTACACAAATACCAAATATAAATAAAATCTCAACACTTAGCACCGTGAGTAACTAAAATTAAGACAAAATAACAGCGCAAAAAGTGCCCATTAGTTGCTCTATCACAGATGATTTATGTCATGGCAATAGGGATAATTTTTATTAGAAAGAATTAATACTCCCAATAATCAGAAAATGGAATGGAATATTTTATCTGACTTACTTGTGTCATTAATGTGTTGCTGCAATCAGTCTACTGCCATTCATGTGCTGCTGCTATCAGCCTACTCACAACAGTATCAGTTATTTGTGTCATACTTTCTTTAAAAATTCTGAACGACAAATCTGGTTTGTTTCTCGTTTTATTTCATTTTAGATTATCTGTCATTCCCATGTTCTTTACCACATGTTCCTTCTATGCATGTGGCGACCCTTAGAATTCAAAATGCTGATTGTTATTATCATGTATTATATTAGAAAACATTTATTAGGGTCGTTTGATATCTTAGACAACATTGATCTAGATCATTTCATGTCCAAGTTGTAAAAGCGAATGCTACAGAGTTCCAATTGAGAGAATTACGTACTCAATCTTTTGGATGATCATCCTTCGAGAATGAGAAATGTCCATTTCCCTACCTAGCTTTTGAACGGTCAGAAAGGGCCAAGTTGTTGCCTACGACATTGCTGGATATGACTTGTTCTGTGCTTAATTTGCACTTCGGAGTTCTTAGGTTGTAACTACTTAGTTGACGATTCATAATTTGCTGAATTTTATGCTAAATCATCTGCAGACCACCATAAACAGGGTCTTAGGGAGTTTATTTGGGAATGTTAGCATTCACAAGAAGATGATTTCATCTTCTGTTTCTGTATTACCGGCAATTGGATTTCTATTCTACCTGTTTATCTTAATATAGTTCTGTTAATCAGCAGTAACTGTAATAGCGTATCATCTATTCTAGCTATTCACTGTTATTGCGGCATAGCTTGAATCCATTACCATTTATATATTATTGTTACCTTAAAATAGAAAGAATAGGTATAGCAGCATGGTTCAAAGTCGCGGTAGCGATCCGGACCGTTCCACATCGATTTCAGCATATCAGTCGCAGTCTCGGCGAAACGCGAATTTTTGAAATATTTAATATTTCAAAAATTGTAAAAAATATGGTAAACAAAAAGAATTTAAAAATTAGTAAAAAGAATAAAAATTCGAATTGACTCGGGATTACTCAGAATGATTTGGCGTAACTCGGCCATTTCAACCCTTCACTGTGACGTCTCAGCGAGTCAAGTATCTCGGAATCATATCGTCCGGTATCATATCGGAAGGGCCGAGACGGTGACGACTTGGCCGAGTCTTTGAACCATAAGCAGAGCTTTTGGACGTTGTGGTTTTTGTGGTATCTTTTGCTTCTGGTGGAACCTTCATCAACTATTGCCATTTCAGATTGTGGAGGGTTGTAGAATGGAGATAGTTTCCAGATTTGATAGCATTTATTCTGCTTTCGAAGAGCTCCGTGACCAATGGAACGAGGAAACTAGAACACAAGATTTGTTGCTTTCCAGGAGATGCATAATGTTATGAATTCAGCGACTGCTCATGCCCAAGTTGCATTTCAAGTCATTTGACTCTATAGACTATACCATCCAAAGAAATGATCAAGGATTGGATGCTTCTGAGGGTGCTTTTGGATTTCGGTCTCAAGTGGAATGATACAGACCAGGTGCTTGCACAGAATTTTGGTCAAGAATCTCCCACTGCCGAAATCGTTGCTGCTGCTAAAAGATTGAGGAGGACCTTAACAAACCATGTCGAAAGAAGTACCTTTCGAGGAAGCCTTTGGAATTGCCAAGTTTGTTCCATAACTGGGAAAGACGTACTGATCTTTTCAAGGTAGAATTAGAGAAGCACTAGAGTTTCAGTAAGCTTAAGCTTGCGCATTCCAAGTGCACTCTCTCTTTTGCATGATTATGCTCGTTGATAGAGTTTGTTGATTCTGTAAAAGGAGAATATGCAGTATGTCATGCTCATTGTCCGTTGTAAAAGGAGAAGCACTATTGTTTGCATTGAGGGGCCACGCGACAGAAAGTAAGAAGAAAGATGCACATTGAAACTTTAGAGGAAGTCAGGTGCCAAGTCTGGCTTCATGACCGATGCGGGACATCTTCTTGGTGATCATCCAAGGACTTCCGGCATGAAAACTGTTGAATTCAAAGCCTCAATTGATGACTTTTCCAAGCCAAAATTGTTGAACTTTTTGGCACAATTCTTATCCCACATCGGTTTGCTTAACATTTGAGAGGTTGCTTGAGAGTTACAAAATAACTCTCAAGCAACCCAAATTAAACACACCAGAAAAAGAATTTTTTTGTAATTCTTTCTTTTCCTAAATTATAAGAGCGGGTCGCTTAGGCGGTGTTCGGAGATTAGGCAAAATTGACGGAATTCCGTTATCAATTTTCGAGTGCGTTATTTCCTTATCTCTTTTATTTATTCCGCATTTATTTAGTAGTTTCTTTTCAATTGTAATATAGTATTCAATATATTTGTCGGGTTTATTTGTAGTGTTTTATATAATTCATTTGGGTGTATTTTCTTATTTGTGTGTACGTATTATTTATGTATACACGGATCTAGTTGTGATAATATACCGTGCACGTAAATTCTGCCATAGGAGATTGGGTATTAAATGGGACCGTTTGGGACCCCTCCAGCCTTTCCTGGAAATTTATTTGGAATGGTAATTCTGTCTAAGGAGATTATTTTGACGATCTTTTCTGGAAATTACTAAATCAGTTTAATCACTAATTGAATTTTGAGTGGAAAATTACCCGATTTTCCCAACAAAAACTGGCACCATAACCAGCGCTGGATAAATGCAGAAATATTTTTCCAAATTTGTTTCTTTTCTTTACAACACGGACAGTTTTTTTCTTTTTCTTCTTCTTCATTTTCATCTTTCCTTACAATTGCACCCTAACTTGATTGGATCACATACTTGACCATCTCTATACGACTTGGAGCTATGCCTAAATATTTTGCGTGGAAATTGCTGCAATTCATGTATTTGTGGAATGATCAAGTTCAAAACAACTAATTTGGTATTATTCAAGGAGCTGTGTCCAATTGATCTAGAAGCTGTGATATATTATGATAATATGATCGTCTTTTATGCTGCAGAATATATAATATGACCATGGAGGTAGATCATTCTGGGTACATGGTACTGGTCCCTTTGGTTGTTTACCAAAAGCCTTGTCGACTCTCCTAATAACAGCCTCACAGATCGATGAAGGTCGATGTGCAATTCCTGCTAACGACGTCTCCCAATACTATAACCACAAATTGAAGGAAGCTGTGGTCCAGCTCCAATATGAACTTCCGGATGCTGCTACCACATATGTTGATATCTACTCCATAAAGTACGACCCCATTAGCCAAGCCAAGAAATATGGTAAGTAAATATGACTTTTATATAGGCAAAATTATTTAAAATGTGCCTCACATTTCACTCTGTCCTTCACTTTTAAAATACTAACTTTATATTCCTTACAAATTCAAATTGATAAAATTTATTTTCAACCCTATTTTCGACTATTTTTCAACCTATATGAACTGTAGAATCTGACTTTTTATATCTTAAAAAATGGTCATATGGTGTCAAAATGGGTGACTTGGACGGGTTTGGATTGAGTAAAATGGGTAATGAGTATAAGTGAGTCGATCCATTTATACCCATTTTATTAGATGGGTATAAATGAGTAAGTTAAAAAATGAATTGGGTAACCCAATTACTCATTTATAACCCATTTATTTTAACTTTTTGTAAACTCATTTAAATTCATTTTTGCAAACTAAGTTATCAATTTATACAGCTTTTTGTACCTATAATTAGTTTTAAATATTTACTTATAATGCTCAATAAACCTAATTACCAAATTTTTTTCCATTTATACTCTATGTCGCAAAATTACATATTATTTAGGAATTGAATAATAAGAATATAAAAAAAATTTGAACTAAGTGCTATAAAAGTTAATATAAAAACTTAATCCAAGAATTTTGAACCCCTAACATTTTTTTCATATATAAATTTAAAATTTCATTTTAGAAAGATAAGAAAAGAGGCTAAAACTTATCATAAATTGGTAATACTGAAAAATGAGCAAGTTAACAAACTAAGATAAAATAAAATAATAAGATAAAACCAACAAATAATAATAATAATGAAACAAAAGTAGTTAACATCATGACAAAATCTGGAAAAAAAATATGGATGGGGGAAGAGAAGACACTTGGAGGAAGAGAATTCTAAATGGGTTAATTAGATTTGATGGGTTATCCAATAATATCCATTTATTAAATGGATATTATTGGGTAATCCATTTATACCCATATACATAAATTTAAGATACTCATACCCATCTATTCATGGACGGATATGGGTAAATTTATTTAAGTGGGTTGGTTTGCCACCTATATATGTGGGTCACATGATAAATTCAAACTAAAAGTGATAAAAACTTAGGTCAAAACCATATTTTACTGAGTTAAATTTATAAGAGACATAAAGTTAGTTTTTTAAAAGTGAAGGAGAAAAAAATCATTTGACAAAATGTAAAGTATGTTTTAAATAATTTACTCTACGTTTTAAATAATTTACTCTTTTATATGTGTATGGGACACTATTAGAATAAACCGATTTATGTATATTAATATAAGGAGATTCTATAGTTCATTTCGAATATCATACCCTCTTATTTAATTTCACCGTTGGAAGGTAAAATAAGTATTTTGACCCTTAAGTTGTAACAATTTCAAACATTTGAAATATAGACAACTATCATGCATCATCTAGAGATACAAAATGAGGAGATAGTTTCCAAAAGGAATAATAGAGTTTTCGACTAACATTAGAGTTCTTCTATTCTGTGAAGTACATAATAGCATGTGGCGTCGTGCAAATATTTAGTTTTCTCATGCAAATAATGTTGGAGATTTATAGTGATCCATCCCTATTCATGGTGTTCTTATCTAGCGCCCTAAGGGAATAAAACACGTTCAAAAAAATTATATATACCCACAAACACACAACATTCACACCTTAACATGCTATTTCTTTCTTCTTCATTTTTTTTTGTTTTTTTGGGGGGGGGGGGGGGGGCGGAGAAAACAATATGAAGATTGTGAATAATGGCTTGGGAAAATTTTCCATGGCATTTGATTAGCTAGCTAAAGTTTTTCAGGTGATGCCAACTATTGATTTCAAACATATATCTTTAACCAAACCGAAATTTTCTGGATTTAGATTTGCAGGTTTTGAGCAGCCTTTAATAACTTGCTGTGGATATGGAGGAAAGTTCAACTATGATCCAAACTTCCTCTGTTCGGAAAAGGTCAAGTTGCACGACATAGAAACTATTGTTGGATCATGTGAAGATCCATCAGTTAGGGTTAACTGGGATGGGATACACTATACTCAAGCTGCTAATCACTGGTTTTTTGAAAGAATTATAGATGGTTCCTATTCAGACCCACCCATTCCCTTGGAAATGGCTTGTCACAGCGAAATGGAAATGACTTTGTTAGCTCAAGCAAATTAAGTAATTTTAATTAAAGATAGAAGGGTTACAGTTTGCTTTGATCCTATTATATATAGATGGAGTGATAAGAATGGGGAGGAAGAAAATTTCTGTGATTGTATGTCTACTTAAATAAGAAGTGATTCTGAGACAGGGGATTAATTCTTAAAGTACAGGGGATTAATTGTAGCATAGAATGTATCTCTCCTCCAGCATTTTATACACTCATGCCATAATATATCAACTTTGATGTTTGAGTAGATTGGTTCTTTAACCTGAATAACATTTTTCTTTGCCAACTTTTCAAGTCTGCTACAAATTAATTTGAATTCTTGAGTATAATTCTGGAAATTACATATAAATCAAAGTATTCCTACTAGAAAACTGTTTGAACTGGGGTGGCTTGATAAATTGTAATCGAAATGAGCTTGATTAATAAGCAAGCCCATTTTTTCAGTTTGATAGAAACTTCATAGGATTTTGTTAAGATGAAATTGCATGGTTCAATCACTTCTGACCATATCATTGCAGGCTAGTTGTAATATTTTTTTTAAAAAAAGAAAAAAGTATGATTATATTATTAACAAATGTAAATCAAGTTTAAACTCTACCACCTACGAAACATCCTCTCGACTCCCACCCCTCTCCGGCCCCAAAAAAATTAGAAGTCCCATACATATTGTGAGTTTTTATCTCAAAAAACTTTTTTCTTTAGGTTTTTGACCCATCCGAAAAACATGATATTAAGCCCTTAGCCTCCCTCAAACTTGAAGATTCGTAACATACATCCAAAAGTTTTTTTTACAATCAAATTATATCATTCATCACATGTACTAAAATTACTAAACTATTACAAATTTGATATTTTAGATGGCAGTAAATTATTCGCACAATTAAATAATGACCGGTTATTTAATCATACAAATTAATCATCTTGAGAACGAACAGACAATATATAAATATTTACAAATAAATGAAACAATAAAAATAAATTAAATCTCACAGTATTGTTGAACCAAAATAAAGAGGATTGGGCCGCTCTTTATGGTGGGATCGCAGCCAAAAAATTATTAAGATTTGTCTTTTAGAGAGAGAACTAAACTAATCAGAGAAAAATGTAAGAGAGAGAGAGAGAGATGACGGTGTCCCCTGTGTGGCTCCTCTCAGACGTCTTATGGTACTATTCTAATTAATCCTACTGCCTAATAAGACAATAGGTCAAAAGTTGTTGGATCATTTGAACTTGGAAACGAATATTAGATTGGACAAGTAATCTAATTGGCTTCCAAATCTATCTTCTAATTAAGTAGGTGTCCCACGCGACTTAGTTGATCGCACATGATGCCTTAGTCGCTAAATCCCATGACCTTCGAACTTCGCACCAGAAACGAACACGCGTTATATTAACACAAGTCTTCTAGAATTTCCCTCTTTTGAGCCCCTTTTATCTCAAAATATCCTAAAAATAATATTCTCTCCGTCCCACTTTGATAGTCCTGTTTATTTTTTCACACAGTTTAAAAAAAAAAGTAATTAATTTTGTTAGAAAAGTAAATTTAGATTGCTATTTTTCTAAAATACCATCACATTAAATAGAGTACAATTTTATGAAAATTTGAATTGATGGTAAAAAAAGAATCAACTCTCATTAAATGAGGTAGGTTTATAGTAACAATAACTTACATTAAATAAGGGTATTTTAGAAAAATTAAAATACAACTACATTCTTCAATTGGAAAGTGAACTACAATTTGGGACAGACGAAAAAGAAAAACAAGACTATCAAAATGGAGTAATAAATATTAAATATAAGTAAAATCTATCAATTAACAAACACCATGTTTTATCGCAATCGAAGGAGAAATATTCACAAATGGAAAGCAAAATTAACCCTTTATCAATAATCAAACACATGCATGCTATTAGATAAAACCAATTAGTTAGACTAGCTATCTTGACTATCAATAGGAGATATCGCATTATCTGATACTGGCCATCCGTTTAATCAATTTTGTTCAGGGTACCAAGCTCAAAGGTCATAGTTGACCACACAAACATCTTTTCATTTTTCCATACATAACCGAGAGCATGGAAAAGATTTTCCATGCAAACATCTTTTCAGGCTTATCTTCTTTCCCTGCCAAATTATCATTCTATAGTGAGTCGCGAGGACAAAAGAATAGCAAAAGCGAAAAAGACTTCCTATGTATGCATGGCTCTATTACTTAAGTCTTGTTTGATAATCCAATTCAGCATTTAAAATTAATAGATTCAAATCTTACTCTGTTTAGACACACTTAATAATCAAAAATTAAATATTTAAATTAATTAAATAGTGTTGAATATCTTAGACAAAGATTATCACTTAATGTGATATACATTTAAATGTATCAAATTTAGTATTTAACAAAAGAGACCTGATATATACATGCATGCTCTACTACTTAAACTATGTATACTCACTTATTAACAATATTAAATATTTACAGCATCAGCATTCTGTGAATTGACACTTAAAAAGTCATAGTTGACTATAAAAACAAACCGTGGAAAAGAAAAAAAAAAAGCGAGAAAGTATTAAAGAGTCATTTATGCTCTCAATTAAAACAAACTTGTGGTATAAATGACTATTGGTAATATTATACCTTCATTGTGAAATGGGTTAAATTTCTCAAACAAAAAAAAAAAAAAAAGAAAGGGGGAAGAAAAGGTTTCAATGTGCAAAATTATAAGTTTAACAAAGATTTTTCATGAAGTAAAGCTATGCACATACATATATATATATATATATATTTGGTCTAAATATAATAAAATGTGTTACAGTTGTAATTTGCATATGTTGTACCTCCATTGTAATTTTTCCTCTGGGGAATAAAAACTAACAAGTCAGAAAGGTACTTAGTACTAATTAATTGCAAATATATTCTGGCAAAACATGATTTACAGAGAAGAAAAACAACAACTTTGGCATCTACTAATTTGTGACTGATATATCGACTTTCTTCAAATAGATAATCAAACTTATTTTTCCTTCGCGTTTCAAGTTTTGTCATCATCTTTCAACAAAAGATATAAAGATAATTTAAGAAGAACAAACTTGATGTACGGGATTGAGTTACAAGAACATACTAGTTCGATCTTGAGTTGTCCGAGAAAGTGGCAAGGTGACGTCTTATCTTCTTGAGTACTGCCACAACATCTTTCATGTTAGTTCGATCTTGTGGGCATTCAGTACAGCAACTTAAAGCCAATTTGAAGATCATTGAAACACACTGCAATTTCTCATTGAAATGCTCATCTTGTTGCCTGAGTAAGTTGGCATCTATAATCTGAATTGTTGCATTAGGCAGAGATTCTTCTATCCAACTCTTCAGGCTCAAATCATCTTTGAACATTTCATCACTAGGCTTCATTCTTGAAAATGTTTCCATCAGAAGTATGCCAAAACTATACGCATCAATTCTTATTGACACCTGCCCTTCAACTCCATACTCTGTAGTGCAAAAGGGAATCTATCATAGTTAAAGGGAAGGAAGAAAAAATTCAAGAAATTGACACAGAATTCTACAAATTTTAGGTATTTAAACAATGCAAAGGGATGTCAAATATGCTGAACCTGGTGCCATGTATCCAAGTGTTGCAAGAGTCTGGGTATGCATAGCACTATTTTCTTCATCCAAAATCTTTGCAATACCAAAATCACTTACATGAGCAACCATATTTTCGTCAAGTAATATGTTGCTAGGTTTCAGATCACAGTGAACCACAGGTGTTGTATAACCAAAATGCAGGTATTCCAATGCAGAAGCAACATCCGTCATTATGCTTGTTCTTTGCAGCAGATCCAAGCAAAGGTTGTGGGAGTACAACCATTTCTCAAGGCTCCCGTTGGGCATATATGCTAGCACTAAGGCTTTGAATTCAAGGTTAGAGCAACTGCCAATCACTTTGGTTAGGTTTCTATGCCGAAGGTTACGTAGAACTTGACATTCCGCATCGAAACTCCTAGAAGTGACTTCGGTTAGAAAAGTGAAAACTTTCACAGCTACCACTGTCCCATCCGCTAGAATACCTTTATATACAGATCCAAAACTCCCTTTGCCAATTAAATTGCTTTCATCGTAGGCAATAGTTGCTTGAACAAGTTCATAATATGAAATCCTTCTTGGCACTACCACCGGCAATAAGTCAACATTTCTTGAAACTGCATCCTTCCTCCGGCATCTTAAAAGTAAAATTACAACAGTTGTACCAGCAATTATTGTTGCAGCAATACCTGATATAATGCCTAACATGTGAAATAGTTTCTTTCGACTTGATCTGTGAATCTGACGAGAATTGCATGGAGGAACATGAAACCTTTCATCACCACACAAATCATCGTTAAACATGAATGATTCGTATGTGAAGTTCTTGAAAGGACCACTACTGGGAATTTCTCCTCTAAAGTGGTTGAAAGAAAGATTAATGTAATCAAGCTGCAAAAGTGTTTCCAAGGACTTTGGTATCGAACCCGATAGGTTATTATTAGATAGGTCCAAAAGTTCCAAGCGTAACATGTGACCTAGTGAGTCTGGAATAGGTCCCTCAAGCTTATTTTGTGCTAAAGAAAGGTTGGCTAAACTTTGCAAAGCTCCAATGGAACTTGGAATATTCCCACTGAGATGATTTCCTGACAGATCCAATATTGTTATCATCTTCAAATTTTCAATTTCTTGAGGTAGTGAGCCATTCAGCGAATTAGAGGACAGACCCAAATAAAATAGATCACTGAGGTTCCACAAGCTTGCAGGTATGCTTGAATTTAAGAAGTTCCCATCAAAGGAAATTTTTCTCAGTGAACTAACATTACTTATGCATGATGGTATTGACCCACGAAGCTGATTTTTACCCAGATATAATCCGTACAAGCTCTTTAACTCACAAAAACTATCTGGAATCGAACCACTCAATCGGTTGTCATAGAAATTTAAAACTTGAAGTTTTTGCAATTGTTTCACTGTGGCTGGAACGGGTCCACTCAGGTGATTTACAAATAGACTCAAAACCACTAGATTGCTCAAATTCCCGAATGCATCAGGAATGCTTCCCTTGATTCCGCAGTCATATGCATAGAATCTCTCCATAGAAGTTGAAAGATTCCCAACCGATATTGGAAGAATACCGTGCAGCGGATTGTCATTAAAAGACAATATTTCTAGGTACTTACAATTTGTCAAGTAATTGATGAAACTCAATTCTCTTGATGAAGGTTCAGTTGTGAAATGATTTGCAGAGAGATCTAGCCATCTTAGAAGTCTTAGGTTTCCAAGAGAACTTGGAATTGGACCACTGAATCTGTTTGTATCCAAGTATAAGAAAGTTAGTTTAGATGCATTTGAGATTGAGGCTGGTATCAATCCAGAAAGTTTATTGTTCTGTAGGCCTAGTCTTCCCAGTGTTGAGATGTTGAATATTCCGGCTGGTATGGAGCCAGTTAGGCTATTGAACTCCATACTAAGCAATTCTAGATGCTTTAGGTTGCCAAGGTCTTGCGGAATAATACCTAGATAATTATCAAGTTTATATATGTTAATGCATAAATTGAATTTAAGACATTATATACTTGGTAAAATATAAGATTTTTAACTAAAAAATTCTCAAACAACTAAAAGCAATCTGTAATGTAGTAGCTACAAGTTTACAACAAGCGTGTGTATATGTGTGCGTGTGTATGTGTGTGTGTGTGCGTACTTTTAACACGATAAAAAAAAAAGCAATTTTGAATATAATTGACATAAAGTTGTTGTTTTCTTTTTTTTTCCTTTTTTTTTTTTTTGAAACAGCAATGCATGTAGCATTATGCATAAACATGGCTAACATTTACAAGCATGTTAAATTCAACTTAGTAAATAATCATATGATTTTCTTGTACATGATCATGTAATTATATGTTTTACAAACTTCTATTAAATTAGTAACAACCAAAAATTGATTTAAGCAAAACAAGTCGTGCAGGTTAGTTTGAACCATTCTTTTGGATGCCTTCCTTTCTTTCAAGCTAAGTTCCAACTTTTTCTTAAATTTTCTTTTTGCCTGTGTTCTTTAGTTAATAAAATCAATTCCTGATGACATACATGGCTGACCAATTTATGTCAATCGTATATACTATGGCCTGCCTGGAATCTAATTTCAGAAACTGCAAAAGTTTTTCTAGTGCGTAATAAGTTCAAACTCACGAACTTTACATAGCAAAATGTTTAAAATAATATTCTTTTTTTTTCTGTCACTTAACATCACTATAAATGCTGAAAAATCAGCTCTTTGGTATTTTGTTGAGGTGATGGGGTCACATGCATTTTTTGATAATTACAATTTTACAAGCCATAGAGTTTTTACTTATCTTACCATTTAGCTTATTTGTTCTTCTATTCACGTTTACTAAGAAAATGCTTACCATTCTTTTTTGGGCAAATTTCACTTGACCCCCCTGTGGATTAACTTTTTTTTTTACATAACCCTCCTATAGTTTCAAAGCTATACATAACCCCCTTATGGTTTGGATTAAAATATCAAAGCAACGGGAATGACCATTCGTAACGAAATCATCTAAAATGTCAAAAATACCCTTATGTAAAGTTGAAAATTATTTATTAACCAAAGAGGGTTATGTGTATATTTTGAAAACCATAAGGAGATTATATGGTAAAATATTAAACCATAAGGGGGTTGTATAGTAAAATAAAAAAATTATACGGGGTTAATGTGTTATGTATTTATAAAGGTAATTTCGACATTTTTAGAAGTTCCGTTATGAGTAACTATTTCCGTCACTTTGACATTTTAATCCAAACTATGAGGGAGTTATGTATAACTTTTGAAACCATATGGGGGTTATGTAAAAAAACACTAAATCACAGGGGGTAAAATATAATTTGACCTTCTTTTTGCAGTTTACAAAAGCACCGCCACCTCTTTGCATTCATTTAGAAAGAAATACTCCCTCCGTCCCGATAAGTTTGTCGCACTTGGGAAGTTGTGATTTTTATTAACAGTGCACCGAATCTTGCAACTTTTGTTTCACTTTCCACCTTTGCCCTCCAACGTGTAATGCATACAAAGAAAGTTATGCTGGAAATTTACTGCTGTGGGTCCTATCTATTTTGTTTAGCTCAAAAATCCATGACCAAAAGCACGTATCAACAAACTCATGGCACATATTTGGGGGTGTCTTTCACGCACCAAATTGTGGTGCTTCCTTTTTACTTTGACTTTTGAGTTAAAGTTGTAGGACCCATATTTTAAGAGGGCAAATGTTGAAATTGGATGTAAACAAGCTTTCTATTTTGGGTATGTGACAATTATTTTGGGACAGATAAAAAAGGAAAGTATGACAACTTCAATGGGACGGAGGGAATATTACTTTTCTATTCTTCAAATGCATCCGTAAAGAAGTTTTGAGAACTCCTTTCAAAAGAATTTCATTCCTCCAATTCAAAATTTTATTCATTAAGAAATTAAGGAAATTTGCTTCAATAGAAGCTATATTCCTAGATCAGAAAAGTTAAATGTCTGTTTTGCATAAATACCCTGTACTACTCTAAGCATGGCATTCAAATTTGGGGAAATCACATAAACATTACACTTAATTCTAAGGTATTGTAAAGGAAATCTATTGCGCAAACTTCAATAGAAGAAAGCTATGAATATTGGTTATTAACACTACAGGGAACTATCACGCTGTATTTATTTTGTAAAGTAATTTTTACGTTGATTTTCAGGGATTATTTATTATTTCAAACGAAGAATATCTGTTCACAGAAGATTGCATTGAAAGCTTCAAACGAAGAATATCTTTTCATAGTAGATTGCATTTAAAGCTTTGCTTTCAGGATACTGAAGTAAAATATAGACACCAAAAAGAACTTAATTGCACGTTATAAAGCAATATCTATATATACTCTTTGTAACTTAGAGCACACCTTCAATTTTTCTTTGTTGATTTCCAAACTAAATCTTCTAATTAAGATTTGCAATTGGAAAATCTCAAACAACTCATAAATACTTTCACAACAACCACAGCAAGAGATATATATGTCAATAGGCTTTGAAGACAATAGAAGAAAGGCAAATTTTTGTATATATAATTAACATGGAATTGCCTGTCTTTTGACATAAATGCATATATTAGTGTCCATTAACATGGTTAATAATTACAAACTCAAAAGATTCAAGCTCATATTTGTTTATATATACATATATATATATATATACACATACATACATACATATATATGTGTGTGTGTATTACTCCACACATGGTTAATAATTACAAACATGATAAAATGTGATAAATAACCATATCAAAAGATTCAAGCTCATATTTGTTTATATATACATATATATATATACATACATACATACATACATATACATGTGTGTGTGTATTACTCCACACCAAATAAAAATTGGAAACCTTAATTTTGGCAGTTTGCTGAGGTGATAGTCTCATGCATCTTTGATTATTCTGTCCTGAAAGGTTATACAATCCTTTTTTTTGAAGGTAAAATTTATACAATCCTTACTACTTCGATTTGTATATGTTAACAAGAAAATACTTTCCGTTCTTCTTTAGTTACAAAAAGTATTACCACCTATTTCTTCAGGCTTGATAAGTAGTTACCTTTCTATTATTCTCTAATTTCCAAATGCATTCACAAAGAAATTTCTAATATGCCTTCACGAACAAATTTCTTCCAATTAAAAGTTGTATTGATTAAGAAATTAAGAAAATTTACTTCAATAGGTGCTATATAGATATCCTAAATGACTATAAAAATGGGATTCAACGTTGGGGACATTACATAAACCTTACTTTTAGTTAAAATCCATAATTTGTCAGAATCTTATAGAACTCTAGACTTAGTTAAGCAATTCGTGGGATATAGTTTCCAACTATCTTGGTATAACAATTTTCATTTTGTTGACCTGAAAATAAAATGTTCTTGGCTTGTTAACTTGAGATTTTACATTCAAGCACTAAAAGAAATTCGCATGGTACACAAGTCATGGGACAAGCATTTATCTTACTTTTGTTAAAAGATTTTAAAATATTTCATCAAAATATTCTTCTCTTTTTTTTTATATAACCAAAAAGCTTGGATTTTATTGCCTCAGAACAGTTCTTGAGAGGGACAAAAGCCTGACGTCAACAATACAAGACACCTACTTAGTCGCCGAATAGACAACGTGTATTCTTCTCATTAATAGATAAGAAAACGTGTATTAAATGTAAACTATTCTTCTCATTAAATGTAAGAGTTAGGATGGTACCATCTAAATTGTTGTCAGCAAGATATAGTTCCTCGAGCGCCGTTAGGTTCCCAAATCCTTGGGATGCCACTCCACTCAAATGGTTGTCATTCAACACAAGTCCTTGAAGGATACCTTTATGGTGGGAACGGGTTGACCGTGCCTATGGTAGGAAGGCCTCCAGAGGCGGACACGTGTTGCATGTGGATGGATTGCAAACGGAGACGTTTAGCCTTGGAATCGCGCGTGGAGATGCAACGTTAACATGTTGTCCGCTGGTGCAAGTTAAAAGCAGGGGTTCGTACAGCCGTTTGCGTTTTCCAACGCAGTTTGGTGGGCCGGGGCAGTGTAATTGCTACTCAGAACCATTGCTCATTTATACATTTGCAAATCTACCCGTTAGCAAGGGGAAAATGCTGCCAAGGCCCTGGGCAAAAAATTATGCGTAAAGAACGAACTGAAGTTTGAACAAATAATAAATGTAAACCGCGCATGCGAGCGGGATAATAACTTGGAAGAAGGAAAAGCAGAGGAGAGGTATCCGTACTACTCCCTCCATCGTACTTTGATAGTCCAATTTTGCTGTTGCGTCTGTCCCAAATTCTAGTACATTTTTCAATTGAATTGAAAAATTTAGTTGTATTTAAATTTTCGTAAAATAGCCTTATTAAATGTAAGTTGTTGTTACTATATACCCACTTTATATAATGAGAGTTGATTCATTTTTTACCATTAATTGAAGTTTCCATAAAGTTGTAATGTAATTAATGTGATGGTATTTTAGGAAAAAAGTTACTTAAATTGATTGTTCGAACAAAATTAACTGCTTTTTCTTAGACCGTGCGAAAAACAAATTTGAACAATCAATGTGGGACGGAGGGTGTAGTTTCGAGACAACGGCTCCAAACACTACCTTTATGGTAGGAAACCTTTGAGCAATCGTAACGTAGGTAGACCCGTAACAGGTGTATTTGTAAAATGAGGAGTTGACGCTCTGTTATCTTGCAGTGGTAACACCCGTGCAGATAAACAAAACAAGACGTATGCGGATGCAGGCCTTTTTCCCCTCCAATTGCTGCGTTTAATGTGCAGTGTTTCCCCACTGCTTTAATACATTTTTAAAAATTGTGAAACTATAGTTTTGTAATAAAATTAATAATAACATACCAACAACAAATACCCATGACATAAATATACTAAGCAA